TGGGACAGAGAGAGACAGAAACATGAACGGGCTGAGGGGCAGAGAGAGGGGAGACACAGAACAGGGCTGGGCTCCAGGCTGACCCATCAACAGGAGCCCACGCGGCCAGCCTTCGAACTCACGGACCATGCCAGATCGTGACCTGAAGTCGGGGAAGCAACCACCTTCATACCACCAGGCGCCTTCATTTTTTTTTTTTAATTTTTTTTTTTTCAACGTTTTTTATTTATTTTTGGGACAGAGAACAAACATGAACGGGGGGAGGCAGAGAGGAGACACAAATCGGAAAGGCTGCTCCAGGCCTGAGCCATGTGGGTTTGCCTTATGTTATAATAATTTTTTCTTTTTTTGTAATTTTTTTAATCTTTATTTTTTATTTTGAGGATATATGAGAGTCAGAGGCAAAGCATGAGCTGGTGTGAGAGAGGAGAGACTCCCAAGCGGGTCCCTGTGGGGTTCAGAGCCTGATGCAAAGCTCAATCAAAGCCCAATCATGAGGACTGTTTCATGACCTGAACTGATTTAACACTTAACTGCTCAACAACCAATTATTAAAGTAGGCTCACTACTTTAGTATCTATTCAGGAAACCTATATAAATATACTGTACACCAACAGCCAACAATATTAAATAAACATGAAGGACATCCTATAAAACAAGAATGACACATATCAGTTATTTAAACATTGTTTTTCAAAGTTCTACAAAGTGGAAAATATGGCGGAAGCCTGGGTAGCTCAGTCGGTTAAGCGTCCAACTCGATTTTCAGCTCAAGTCATGGCCTGACCGACCTCATGGCTAGATCAGAAGATATATACTGACAAAAGGGAGCAAGGAACCAGCAAAAGATTCTCCTCTCTGCCCCTACCTAGCTCATGTGTGCATGTGCTATGCGTGCTCTCTAAAAAATAAGCATTTAAAAAAAAAAAAAAGGAAAATGTAAAAAATATGTTAACACTGAAATATTAACAGAAAACAGAAAAGATGATGTTCTTAAAAATATATTAGAAAACCTAGAGAAGTTCAAAATATCACCAACAATCACAGAGAAAATATCCTACGGAGAAAAAATGATGCCACTGATTAACAGTGAGTTAAAAAAAAAGAGCACCTAGGACCCAAATACCAAATTTTAGCCTATGTAAAGAAGCACCAAATGTAAGCTAGGTAGACAATAGAAAATTTAGTTAAGTACAAAAACAAACTATCTCCCTAATGGAAGACAAGTATTATAAACATCTCATTTTTTTTTAAAAAAATATAGGCTTAATGAACTCCCCAATGGGAGTTCTTCTTGAATGCATAAACAAAACAAATATCTGAAGAAAAATAAAGTAGCAATAGAAGTTGGAGAGCAGAAAACAGCCCCAAGATAAATGTTCAATCATATTGAGTGCCTATATGAGTAAATTAGTATCAGCACCCCACCAAAATGCTGAAATACTCAAATCAGAAAAATGTAATGAGGAAAATTAATTATAGTAACATCATTTTGCTTACTATGGTAACCATCCATGCTAAGTATTTTATGAGCATTTTATCATTTAATCCTCATAAAAATACCTGATGTGAATGTAAGATGATGTAGATTTTCCAATTGTTGATGGACAATCTGCTAATACTTTTGATAAACATGATTTGCTTTTAACAGCATTCTTAACCAGTTCTTCATCTCAAACACAAAACACAGAAAATGATTTAAGTGACAATTCAATTCTCCAAGGCTGGTACCTACAGTACCAGTTAACCAGACACAGAAAGAAAAATAAATTCTCAGTAAACAATGGATACGCCTTATTTACCCAGGGTTTAATTCTCTTACAAAGTAAAAAATAGCTGCCTTATACTTAACATAACAAGGCAGTATCTAGTAGATTAAATAGATCAGGAAGATAAAAATCAGACAGATAGACAAGCACAAGAAAAAACAGATGGGCTTTCTGAAACTGAGTTCTTACAAATATGGACTGAAATAAAGGATTTTATTCACATGAGAAACCCTAAATTTACACAAGAATAATAGAGTAGTAACTTGACAAACTGGGGGGAAAAAATCTGAAAATTGTAAATAAAATCAGTATCTTTACTATACAAAATTTATGGGGAAAAACAAAATAAAAACATGAAGCAAAAACTCCAAGAAAACAAGTAAACAGGCAATTTAATTTAAAAGGAGAGTCAGTAAACATAAAATGATAAAATACTTAATAATAAAGTCATTAGAACAGCCACAAAATTAAAATAAAATATGGACTATTAAATTTGCTATATTACACATATTCATCTTGCTGTAATCTTCCAGCAAAGTGTGGCGAGAAAAACATCTCAGTCACTATGGTGACAGCATGTTGGCACAACCTTTCTGGCAAACATTTTGGCAGTACCATATCAGGAGAACTAAACCCAGGTTTTGACCCTGTAATTTATCTCCACAGCTATTATAAGAAACAACTTAAAATGGGAAACTTATTAAAGTAATTGTGGAGGGACAAACTGAAACCAGAAATGCTAAATGTTGTCACAAAGTAAGGGTGTTCAAACCATGTATCTGCTATCATGAAGGCTGAAACTAAATATTGGCTCAAACAACAAGTGCTGATCATAGTAGCCATAAAGACTGAAGAAGATGAGCGTGCCTGTGTTTATAAAGGAAAAAAAAACATCATGTGGAAAAAAGAGGAAAACAAGCAATATGCAAACTGCCAATGGTTGATTTTAAAAAGGACTTCATGGATACATACTAAAGTGCTGCATGAAAGCAACTGTTGGTGTGGGGCAGAGCCATGATAAATTTTTTTGTACTCTCCAGAGACATCTCAGTGAATACTTATATTGGATGGTGTTTTTTATACTTAAATTTATTTAAGAACTTTACAAAATAATCAAAATAACTGATACCCATAGACAGGTATGTT